ACATGTAAACACTTTTTGTTTGGTGTAAACCCAAGCACGGATGAATCTGGAACCGGAGTAGCAATACTATTGCTACACATATATGTGAACTATAGGAGCCCTGGTGGCATAGTGGTTATGCGTTGGGCTATTAGCAGCAAGGTCAGCATTTGGAAACCACCAGCAGCACCAGGGGAGAAAGCTAAGGCTTTCCACTCCGGTGAACAGTCACACTCTCAGAGACTCCCAGGGGCAGTCCCACCTTGTCCTCGAGGGTCACTATAACTCAGCATCGACTCGATGGCAGTGAGTTTGGTTTGATTTGATAAGAAATGTATATATGAAAATACATACTATGAAGGTGGCGGATGATGAGGAACTGATGTGAAGGGCTCAAGTAGAAAGAAAATGTTTTGAAAATGATGATGGCAACATATGTACAAATGTGCTGGACACATAGATTATGATAAGAGCTGTATGCGCCCCCAATAACATTTTTTTAAAAAGAAAATGCATATTATACATATTCATATACATATTATTTAAAATTGATCATAATAATTGCTTTAAAGAAAAGAGCAAATTCTATGCCAGTGCTCTGAAAAGTATTTAACGGGAGTACAGCACAGGCACCTATCCATCAAAACATGTGAATATTATCAGAATGAAGGCAATATATGAAGGCCTCTTTTACCTGCCCCGGCTGCCATGAGATAGCCGAACAGCTGGTTCTATGAAGAACATATTCAGTCCCTAATTTTGAAGCAGCTGACATCTGAGCTACAAAGGAGGAGTTAGCCAAGTCAAGAGAGGAAGGGTAAATAGAACGTTCCACAAGAGGGAACAGCATGTGTGAAGCTTTGCCCTAAGGCCCTGGTCCCCCCCCAAGCCATTCCAGCAAGAACCACCAAGCTGGTGAGTCACTAATGCCTATCGTGAAACTAGGTCAGATGTAGGTAGGGCCGTGAAGTGATCTGAGGTGCTGTTGCTGATAGAACTATGAGCTAACATGAAGCCAGTGCTTATTAGGGACAGTAAGTGAACTTTCCTATTTGAGCCTCACAGTGACCTTTTGAGGTGTCATTATCCATCTCATTGATTTAGAGACATTGACATCAGGAGGTTACATAACTTTTCCAAAGAAACGGGTAATAAAGAGTGGAGCTGGGAGTCTAACCCAGCCTGTACTCTTCAACAGCAGCAGAGCGTACATTTTGACAAGCGCACTCTTTGGGTAAGGAATGAATTAGAGCAGACGGATGGAGGCAGGAGGGCCAGTCAGAGACCATCACAGGCATCTGGATACTAGGCCTCATCTGCTAAGAGTTAAATGAAATTAAATTCAGACTGAGTTTGGAAAAGGGGTGGAGCGGGGGAACTAGTGACAGGCTAGGGTATAACTGGCCATATGGAAAACTAGAATTTGTCACTCCAGGATGCCTCCATACCTCTGGTTTCACTTTTTCAGACCAAGATTCCTTTACACTACAGGAAATGGCCACTAGTGTACCTGCCCTCCTCTCTCACAGTTTGTCCAAGATGCCAAGATCTTTTAGTTTCATTTTTTTAAAAACTCCAGGACAGGGCTCCTGATGGGTCAGATGCCTACCTTTGTGGTGGGGCAGTGGGTGTGAGTCAAAATAGGATCATATGATTCCTCTACCCCCACCAGATCCCCACCAGAACCACATTATTAGCATTGGAGAAGAGCAATTTCCTCAAAGAAGAGGAGCTTGTCCCTGTACCCCCATACTCTAAAAAGAATCCTGCCAAAGAACAGATGCCCATCACATCAGGGAAAAGAAGAGAACCACTCAGACAGATGGTGCCAGCAAGAAGGGCCACAGTGGAGTTTCCTTTTTTTTT